CTTTCCTTGACTTACATTTATACTTCAAACTCTATTGATGAGAACTTCCATCTTTATCTATTTTGTAAAGTGCCAGACTCATATAGTGTTACAAAAATTAAGCCACTGCTTCCAGGAACCATAATACAATGCAGTCGATATTTAAATTTTATCTTAATTTTGTCTAAATGAAACCTCCTCTATTGCATCAGTTAAACAGATGTTCTGTTCAAAGTGCTCTCTGGTAAACATACATTTGCAATCTTCTGGTCCATGTCAACCCCACAGCCCTACAGATGCTGGCTACTCATCAATACAATCTCATAAAGGGAAAGAAAAGTTAACTTCTCACAAAGGGCTTTTCAATAATGAATTCTACTTGTCCATTGGTGGAACTACCTGGAGAAGGAGAAATGGTATAAAGGAGCTCCCTACCACAGGTACTCAACTCCCTGTGTTATACCTCAGGGTCTACCCAACTTGAGAAGGCAGCTGGCTGATTTTGCAGGCAGATCATGGGGCTGGCTGCTACTTTTGAAAGCATATCATGGCTGGACTCTCCCATACCTCTGACCGCCCAAGAGGCTCTGGTGGCCTGGCCCCTTGCCACCAATGAATGGAGAGGGGTGGGGCCACATGACAGGCAACATTCTTAGCCAATCAGCAGCGAGGGGTGGGGGCAGCAGCCATCCTGGACTCCCCTGTGCGCCAGCAGCTCCTAAACCCCACCTGCATGGCCAGGCCATAGCACTGTAAGGACTGCTGGCTCAGGTCTGGGGAGCCATTTTATTTTCAGTAAGTTTTCTTTTTTTTCCCCATGGATTTCATGGACATTGCCCGCTTTTGTGGGCAATGCCAGATTTCATGTTTTCCCCCAAATCCACAAAATTGCAATTTCAGTGGGTCCCAACTTATACCTAGAGGTTACTCCAGCCTGTATAGCTTTCAAGAGCAAAATAAAAGAGCAAGCTTTGAACTTTAGCCAAAGAACCCTGCTCTCCCCCCATACAAGCTTGTTAGTATAGGTGACAAAAGGGGAGAATACTCCTGGTCACTCCATTTGATGGAAAGCGATAGTGCAGGGGCGGGGAATTATTTCAGGCGGAGAGCCACTTTCTGAGTTTTGGCAAGCCATCAAGGGCCGCATGACAGGCAGCCAGGGGCACATAAATATTAAATTTTAAAAAATTTTTAGGAGCTCCGCAGACCAGACAATGGCCTGGCAGGCCGCATTTTGGCCATGCCTGCGATAGTGTGATTTCTTGTTCTAGCTCTCCAGGGAAGAATGAGATTGCAATATTACTAATGACACAAGAGCAACAAACCTCCTCACCAACAATTTCCAATCACTTTTTGTTTCGAAGTATTTTGCCCTGCTAGACATTTCTCCTCTGCAGAGAAAAAGATGCAGCTCCATAATATGAGTGAAGGCTCATACCTTGGGTCTCTTCATGTTTTGTACATTCAATCAGTGTTTTCTGTCCGAGACTAAATTTTAAATTCGTGTTAGTTTAAAAAAAGAAGTCAACACCCATTTTTGACTCAGTCTGCTGTGATTTCCTTTTGGTCATCAGTGATGTTTTTAATTAAGCATTTAAAGACCTGTCTTACCTGAAATTTTTTACTATGTATTTAAGCAAAAATACATGCTACAAATGTGAAAACAAAAAAGAGGGAAGGGGAAGTAAATGGGCTTATAAATTAGAATCATACCATAATTCTGTTGATAATATAACAGAACAGGAAAGGTATGGAAAGCGGACATTTCTCTCTAACACAGTCTTGACATGTAAATAAAGACATCTGAAGAAGCACACAGGTTTGAAGCTTCTGTAACATTCTATCATAATTAGAAACATTTCAAGAGCCCTGTAATTTCCAATCAAAATTACAGTAATTTCCGATATACAAGCCATGATTCATGACAGAATTTTACATTCCATGGGAGATTATAGTGGCCTGATGTATGACGCACTGAGTACAGTGCTAACATAAACAATTCAGTTTAATGTTTAAACAGCACTTGGTGTTTAGAAACCCACAATAAAAGAAACATATTATTGTAGAAATTATCACTTTGACAGTGATTGAAGGGTAGGCAGGCATGTGGCCTATAAAGCTATAATTTTTACAGTCCACAGCTTGAGTTTAATCATTTTGATAAAACATCTCCAAAATATCCCTTTAAGTATTCCTTAAAGCATGTAACTTAAGAGAGAACATCCTTTCTTTACAATGAAACATAGCAAGTCCTGAATGTAAACACTGTCAAAGTTCAATCATTTTAAAAGGAGAAGTTGCACTGCAATACTGATAACTCAAATAATCATTCATAAATCTAACTCTATTTTATCAGCAATATAATAATTAAAAAAAGAACAGCAGACTTAAATAAAATACAATAAAAAAATCTGACATACTGGGATGAGATGCATCTATATCTTCTCTTTACGTTTCTTTGGAAGGTTGGCAACAGGACAGCGCTACACTCATTTTACATCTGCAGTGTTGTTTACTGGGTACACTGTCATTCGAATTTTAGTTTTGAATACACTAAACCAGTTTGAAAGAAGCCTGCTTGAACTTACATGGCGAAATTTGCTACCTTATTGCTCTGAAATAAGCAACCTTCATTTTGTTTTAGAAATATGGGTTTCTTCATTTGCTATTTTCTGCTTAAAAAACAAAACAAAAAAGAATCTGTACCACACAGTTGCATGCCTGTTTCCCAAAGGTTCATTTCTGACACTTCTTTAGCAGCTGTAAGGTCTGGACTAACCATCCTCCAAAAATGAAATCCTGACTTCTCTAGTTAAAGAACCTGTTATTATCAAAACTAAAGCCACACAATGCTGCAGCATTATATATAGCTCACAGCATTTACTCATTCACAACAGCTATGAATTAGTGGAACTGATATTTTTTGAGCCTGGTAGGTTCAGACCTTTTGGCAGACAAGGACATCTCATTGATGGGCATAGTGGCCATGTCCAGACATGCATGGAAGTTTGGTTCCCCAGGTCCAAACAGTGATGGTGCACCTTGTGCTGCTGCTACTTGTCCCCGGGGAATGCCCATGCCATGAGTGCTCTGGTACACGACAAGTTACCCTGGGTGGGGTAGGGGAGGCTGGGACCAGCATTGGGCTGGCCCCAGCAGCGTTAACTGGGGTCCTGGGGGCTCCCACAGTTGCAGCAGTGGCAATACTGTTGCATGGACCTTGGCCAGCATTGGAATTCAGCTCCAGCTAGCTAGGCTCAAAAGGCTACCTAGCCTAAGACTTCCCTGTCCAGAAGATCTTACAATAAAATAATAAGAGGGGAAATGAAATCTAAGAAATTTAAGTGCTCAAGATCAAAAAGCAGGTCAGTGGCAGTGCTGGGAGTAAACCCAGTGCAAAGCCAGTGTCCCATATGACTTCATTCATTCACATACATGCTCCAGATAAATACCTTCCTTCCTATTCTGTGCTTTCTATTTAGACCTGTTCACTCCATACACATTCTGCATAAAAATCTCCCCAGTGGGGTCCCACATAGTTTATGGGCAGTTCTAAATTGATCTGAATATATACCATTTACTTGAGGGCAGGCAATTATTTCAGCTAGACGGCTGCTTCATGAGTTTTGGTGAGCTGTTGAGGGCTGAAAGGGCAGCCCTGCTCCTTTATAGGTGCCCCTCCCTCTAGGTCACCATCTTGGTACTTGATGTCTCACCCCAAACCCCTGACCTTTGTCACTGGAAGTCCCTGCCCTTGCCCCAGAAGTACTCCTTTTGGGAAGGGGGTTTGCCATCTTGGAACCAAGAAAAAAGGGAAAAAAAGCCCCAAATTATATACTAAAACTCTAACATCCACAATAACATAGGTTAATATTATTCTTAAAAGATGTTCTTTCCTGATTTGTATGTGTTTGCATCGTGTATATAGAAGTGATTGCATAACAGCTCAAAATGAAGTCTTATGCTAGTATATTACGGAGTGGTGGGTGTGAAGGTATGTGTGGATGTGGATGGGTATGTGGTTTGTGAGCAGTGTAGAAGGGGAGGGTGACTGCAGGTGTGTATGGGGGGTTGTGGGTGTGGTGGGCTTTGTCTTGGTAGTAGTGAGCGGGGCTCCCCCCAGAGACCCGTGGGGCATGTGTGTGGGAAGGTGCGTGTGAGGATGTGGTGTTTGTGAGGTCTATGACTGTGTTGGGGAGCGTGGTTGTGGAGGAGGGTTTGTGGGTATGGTGGGGTGTGCATGGGAGCCCCCAGCATGCACCCTCCTCCCCCAGTTGGTCAGCACCTGCCCCTGCCCCACAACAGCCCAGAGCCTGTGTGGCCTGCAGCAACTCTCCATGACTGCCAGCAGCATGCAGCCCCAGTGCACCCTGTGCTTGCTTCAGACTGACTCCAGCAGGACTGGATCAGCCACACGTGTGCACAGCCCTGACCCAGCTCCCCACCTGCTCTGCACGGCCCGCCCGTGGTGAGTCCTGCCCCCCCGGGCATGCAGTGGGGCTGCGGTGGTTCTGTGCTGGACTGCCTTTCTAGGCTGCCTGGTACTTCCTGCGGCAGCCGTGCAGAGCCTGCGCTAGGCTGCACTGAGCTCTCCCTGTTGCCTCTAGGCTGCTCCAAAGGGCAGCAGGGGCAGGGCATAGGAGATGCAGGGCAGAGCTGAGGGAGGGGCCGCTTTTCTGCCATGCCAAGCATGCTTCTGCCCCACCGCTGCTGCTGTTGCTACAGCTGTTCAATGTGAGCAGACAAGTCTGCAGCAGGCGTGGGGCCAGCAGTTGCTGTCTCTTGGGCTGCCTTCAAAGGCAGTTCAGCACAGAACTGCCCTAGCCCCACTGTGCGCCAGGGGGTGGCAGGACACATCACCGCAGGATGATGCCTGGACCAGGCAGGACCAAGGGACCTGCCATGGACTGGACAAAGCCCCTCCGCAAGCCGAATCTGGCCCATGCACCGTATTTTGCCCACCCCTGATTTACTTGGATATACGGGCTTGCAACAAATCCACTTTGACCAACTTAATTTACCTTCTGGTGCTGGGGAAGAACTCTCCTCCATCCATTTGAGTGTAGTGTTATGCATACGGGTGGGTTCTTCCTTGTTGGAACTTTCTTGAATGGGTTCCACTTCCCTGTCCCCTTGTTCTATAAGAGAATTATCTCTAGAATTTAGATGCCTTTGGTGCCTCTCTGAAATCAGGTCTGAGTATTAGCAAGACATGACACAGCCTTGTAAGGTTATTCCTCACTTGACTTAAATGTGTGCATGCCTGGCTAATCTGCCACTGTGTCCGCTGCTCCATTTTTTTTTCTGCAGGGTTTTCTGATCCCTGGATATCCAGGGGTTAAAAACCCTTCCACACTGCTCGCTTGCAGTGGGGAGAACTGAACATGTGGTATGTGATGCCACAGACATGTCTGCAGTGCCACATACCACATCACTGTGCTCGTCTGGATATGGCCAGTATGTTTTATGTAGCTGTTTTTTCAATTCTGGCAGAAAAAAACACGACCATAAGTTTACCTTAGGACTTGGTAATTAGGTGTAGATTGTCATACAATTCATGTAAATGGTTATACTATTCATGTGTTGCCATACTAACACAAACAAACAGTGAATTCATATAGAAAATAGAAAAAAAAAATGCAAAAAGCATGTATTAAAAGTGAAACTACCAATGACTTTTCAGTCCTTACCTGGCTTTTCGTTGCTGCAACCTTTGCAAATAATGCTTGAGACACTTTAGCTCTCTTCATTTCCTGCTGAATCTCATCATAAATGGAAGCATTAATGTTCATGGTATTATTTTCTGTTTTTACATTCCTCTCTGTTGCAATGGTAGCTGTTTTGACCTAGAAAATATAATTTATGCAACTGTTATTTTTCTTTAGGTTAAGGTTACATATTTTTTTTAAAGTAATGATCTCTCTCTACTGGACCCTTTCATTCAGATTTCTTTATATTTCCTTTCATGATGCCTTTTCATTTCAACATTTCAGTGATTCAACATTATAAATTATCTATGGTTCAGGTAACTGGGAATTAAGAAAATCCAGCATATGGGAACAGGTGAATGTTTCAGAAATATTTCAGTCACTGTCAGCTGACCACTATGAATTACAATTTCCTAAAACAAGTTAGTTGAAACCTGACAAATAGCTTCAAAGGGACTTGTGAATCCTTAAATGAGCGCTTTGCTTCTCTCAATTAAAGTAAAATTGTAACTTCAGTATAAAAGAATTACTAATGAAATCAAAAGGCAGCTGTCTCTTGATTGGTGCTGTATGTCCAGTGCAGTCAATTGCATGAAGAGTGTAATGCAGTTGTCACTTTAGATTTAACCTTCTTTTTATGTTTCTCCTTAACTGTTTAATTATTTTTTAATTTAAAAAAAAAGCAATTCAAATCTACTTATCCACGGAACCAGGATAGGACCTTCTCTGACTACCAGAAAGGCTAGCCATACTTTATTTGTGTACGTTTAAAACTGTTTTTCCCCCCCCCAATTACTTCATCTTTTTTGTAGTCCAGATATAAAAATTACTGTGTAGCGTGTGTGTGTGTGTGTGTGTATAAACAAACAGGAAAAAAAAAGAAATTTCCATGTTACTACTCCTGTTTTTCCTTCATTTGTGCATTTAAGGCAGTCATAAAATATATATTGATAACAACTATTTGTATAGGGCAATATCATCTTTTCTTTATGAATAAAACATGTAGAA